AATTGCAAAATAATTTTTTTCTTTCTGTTTTTAAAACTTCATTACTAGCAGAGATACTCTGAGGAGCTTGGAACAGTTGGAGTGATATTTTTGAAGATGAAGTTAGTTATAGTGCTGCTGTTCATTTCACCTCTCATGAAAGGCCTATCACTTTTTTTCATATAGTAGGGAATTGTAAATTAATTCTTCTCTGTCTCTAAGGGTTTGGAATAGAAACGATGCCTTCACAGTTCAACGAAGTGGAAAGTCTTTCATCATTAGAAAATCAGCCAAGGAATTGGATGGCAAAGACCTCATACATTACAAAACAGTTGTTTGCAATTAAGGCCAGGAGTAAGATGTGCAGGAGTGTGTCATGCTTCTTTTTGTTTATTTAAGCAGCCTGAGGCATAATATTAGGTGATTTGAATTGGCATTGTTTCCTTATCACATGCTATGATTTGCTATGCTTATTTGTACAAGTGTATGTAATGTATCAAAGGATGGCAATCTGCTCAAAGTATAGACATTTTATATTTTGCTTGAATCTTGATCAATAACCAGAACATTTTCACAGAAGCATTCTAAAGCACTGACCTCTGCTGGTGGTGGAAGATTATTTTAAAAATTGCTAGAGGGAATCAGCTAAGCACAAAGCCATCAACAAGATGAAATGTTGCATGCCAGAGTCTTTCTCTGCAATCAGTGGCAAAGTACCAACCTCTGCTGATGTTTCTTTTCTGTCTCACCAGACTTACATTTCAGCGAGAGCTGTGAATCACTGTGTGCTTTGATGTAGTTGATACAGAAGTGAATAGAGACAAAGCTGAAAAGAAAGAAAGCGGACTATAATCTAAAAAGAGTCAGGTATCTTGGTCTACATCATCTCCTCGAGTCACACCACTGCCTGTTGTAATGGGGATCTCAGAACAGCAGGTAACCTTATATACCATATGTTGAGCAAGGTGCAGCAGATGGGTGATGGTGTTCTAGTCTTCTCTGTGCTTTTCTTGCACTTGTCAATTCAAGCCCTAGGAAAAAGGCTGGTATCCAGATTGATAACACATGGATGTTCTCTAAGGGCTTGACTCTTTCATCAGTGCACTATTGCAGAAAAAAGTGTAATTTCTTTCTCTATAAATGTAAATTAAGATAGTGATAGCTGGTAGTTCTGAATGTAGATTTATTTTGTCTATCCTAAGGTTGTCAGAATGTAAATCAGGCTTTAAAGATCAGATTAGCCAGAGCTGATCAGTTGGTAGAAGTGTGCTACGAAATATTGCACACACATCATCTTCACAGAGAAACTTGTAAACAGAAGAAAAATCTACTCATAAATAGAGATTATAGTTAGCGGGGGCACATCTCTTTTTCAGTAACACGCATAAATCTAAGGTAACAAAATCAAGTCCTTATGGCAATCTGAGACTCATTAGCTTTATGTTGCCAAGGTTTTTAAAACATTTTTTCTCCTCTGTGAAGTAAATCTTACATACCAGATTCTAAATGGTGACACTGAAATGGAAGATTAACAGCACTTTAACGTGGTAGCCAGTTAGTTGCTTTGGAGTTGAAAAGTACAGTAAGAAAGGGGAGGGTCAGAGTGGGATTTAGGGAAAGGTTCTTCACCAAAGGATAGTCAGCAAGGAACAAACTTCCTCAGGCAGTAGTCCTTACCTTCTCTAATTAGAGGGCTCCCAATTTTGAGAGCATGGATTCCCAACATGAGTTAGCTCAATAGCAATTCCCCAGCTTGGGTTTGACCAATGGTCAGACTGACCTTGTTATTTTGGGCTTGCACCTTTTCTGTGGTCTGTATGACACTGATGTCCAAAGAACATTAACAGTGAAGGTAGACCTTGGACTACTCTCATGGAATATCTTGCTGTAAACCTTGTCTCTATTGTGTTCTTAGTCATCAGGAAAAAAAGAATGCCACTGTAATACGGCAAATACATTTTCATCTTGCTTTTTCTGCTTTCCTTAAGAAAACACAGCATAATAGGTTAATGTTAAATGAATCACTGATCTCTAAATGTCAGTCCTTCAGCTATCTATATACTGATTTCTGAAAATACAATTTTAAATTTATCTTTCATTTTCTTTTATGCTGCAAATTGTTGTTCTATAGAGTTTAAATAGCAGCTAGGACAATCTGATAAAAATGCGCAGAAATATTAGAAGTTTTAATCCAAACATTTATCAGAGCTATGAAGCCTGCAATTTTACAATACAGAAAATACAAATGGTGCAATGTATTTAGAGAACTTGAATGACATATGTTAGCAGCTGCAAATTCATATAACTGTGCATCACTGCAATCATACATTCAAGCTCTGATCATTCTTCCCAGAGTGAGCACTCGTGATCTGTCTGAATAGAAATGATTCACCCAGGATTTTGGAAGCAAAGCAAAAAGGCTGAAGTGAGTTATTCACAAATTGTTCCTGAAGAAGTAAATAACATAAGGTCAAAACTTTTCAAACCAGTTATGAATACCACAGCAAAATCCCCATTAATCTAGAAATGTGCTTTGGATGGTGTGTTGGATTGGTGTATTAAGAACCAGGTCTCATGTTTTTTTATTGCTAAGTAGTATCAAAAAGACTCAAGGACATTGCACTGAAGTCTCAGTGAAAGTTAATCAGCATCCTACTCTTAAAAGACTTAAAGGCTTAACACATTGCAGTGCCTCTGATCTCTCTTCCTTCCCCTGCTATTCCTGAATATTCCTCAGTGCTTTTTTTTTTTTTTTTTTTTTTTTTTGCATCAGATCTGCCAAAGATGATATCACCTACATTTCTTTGTGTATCTCCAAGATTGCCAATGAGAAGCTAGAGATCAATCCAGCTGACTCTCATGAGTAATCTTTACCTTTTAAACCAGTTGCTGTGATTTTTTTTTCTGGACTATGCAGGGAAATGTTCATTTCAGATGTGTATGTTAAGGTCTGAAATACCTTTGGCCTAACGCATCGCTTTCATTGCAAATATGTCTCAGCCCTTTACTGGAGCTTGTAGACAAGGCTACCTTAAGCTAAGTATCACAAAAACCATCTGGAATCTGACTTTTCAACTGAAGACTGTGGAAATTTTAAAATACGTAAAGTCTTCTCTTTGGGTGCTATTAGGCGAGTTAAATGCCTCAGACTCTATGTATGGACGTGGGCATGATAAATGGCTGTTGTGCAGGAAAACAGTGTGTAGTATTGTAGCTGCTGAGGAAAATTCCACATATGCTTTACCGTGTTGTATTGTCAAGACTCTGAATCAGCATGAAGAAAGGTCATGTTGCTCTCTGTACTAGCACATGTGATTAAAGAAACAGCAAGACAGGTAGCAATCTCTCACTAGAGATTCAAAAATCACTTATTTAGAAAACTGATGCTTCCAAATTGCTAAGCAAGTTAAACAGCCCACAGGGAAAACTTGTTTCTTATTATAATCTGTATTACTAACTACTCTACTGTTGTAGCTCATAATCTTCAGATTTCTGGATACCTTCCATAATTTGCATCCCTATCAATCTTTAGAGGCTGGTTTTCTTTTTCTCTCTCTTTTTTTTCCCTCTTAATTTAAAAAATATTTTATCCTGGTTTATCCTGGGCTCCATCAGAAAAGGGGTGGCCAGCAGAGACAGGGACAAGATTGTCCCTCTCTACTCTGCTCTTTTGAGGCCCCATCTGGAGTAATGTGTCCAGGTCTGCAGCCTCCAATACAAGAAAGTCGGGTAGCTGTTGGAGAGGGGCCAGAGGAGAGCTACAAAGATGATCAGGGGACTGGAGCACCTCCCCTATGAGGACAGGCTGAGGGAGCTGGACTTGTTCAGCCTGGAGAAAAGATGGCTGCGGAGTGACCTCATTGCAGCCTTTCAGTACCAAAGGGAGCCTACAAACAGGAGGGGAATCAACTCTTTGAAAGCATTAAAACACTTTCTGTACTAATTTCTTGTCTCTTACTGAATGAAAGCATGAGCTGAGGTATGTGTTTATGCCAATATTTACAAAGGTGTGGTTGTTTCTGAGCAGATGCATGGGTTGTCAGATAAAAGCAGAGGTATCAAAACAGTTAAACAGTTTTCCCTGACTTCTGGCTTCCTACGATGAAATCTCTGTAGCTCTTCTAATCTACTTTGTCTGTCTGTTGTTTTAGTTTTAATGGCTGCTCTGCTTTTCTGGTATACTTGATTACAGTAATATTTTAGAGTCATTCTTTAGCCTCATGGGTTGCTGAAATGAAATTAATTATTGCAAAGTGCTGTAACAGAACAGCAGTAATATTCTTTGAGCTGTGTATAACACCATATCCCCAGATGGTTGAGTTTTTTAATAAACTCATCTTCACCTCATATATCAGTTATCTCAACTGTTCAGAAACCAAGTTTCCATATGCAACTCTTGCACAAACATGACCATGATTTGTCCAGTCTAAGGAATTGTGTTTACATACATCAAAGAAACGTGAATAACGGTTGTGCATATAGGTAATTTTAATCCATTCCATTTTTAAATACCACAATAAATTTAATTTTCACAATAAATTAAATAGCCATATTCAGTTTACAAAATAGAATTACTTAGTGTGAAACCAGTATTTACAAACATTGTACACTATGTACACGATGTTTGTCTTTGTCAATACTCAATCAGAGAAGAAAAAGTTATTTGACTTTTTTTGACACATGATTGACATGCTACAAGTGACACCATGGTCCATACAATAAAACAATAGTGCAAACTCACCACAGGAACCCCGAACCAATGTTGTTTAATTAAATATTAATTTCAAATAATAAGAAAATAGTACTATCCACTCTCATTGTAAAAATTCAGTATGGTATTTAAAGTGTCAGTATTCCTTCAGCAATACACATACCAAATACAGCCTGAATATTATGCTTTCTTACAGCTTCACAGACTTTTGACATGAATTTGTATGACATAAACTAGCATTCTGCTTAGATCAATAAGTATGTCACATAAACACTTCAAGCAAGAGGAACACTGACTCTTTTAATGGTGTCTGACTTTATTTCCCTAAGTACCACTTTGTCCTTTATTAGTATATCTCAAAAGATGCAACTATGCTGATGGTAAATTAATGTTACTATTCCATAGAAAAAATTGATCCCACTGTATATTTGGTCACACACTGCATAAGTACACGTATGCATGAAAAATGTTACTTTGATACTATGTCTGTGAAAAGTGCATATTTTAGCAGAGACATTACTGCATGTCTCAGATGCATCTGAAAATGTTGTATGAAGTTTAGGTCAGGGCCAGTTAAATGTCCTCCCAGTGATCTGGTAAAATTTTTGATTAAAAGGATGAAAGAACTTGCGCAATTTGGTAATGACAGAGGCGTCCACCTCTGGATGAATGCGTCCCTTGCTACCTGCCAGGCACTTATTAAAGACAATGTTAAATCGCAAGCAATAAAACCCTCTGGTGGCATTGAAGTATAAATTGTACTGACTTATCCTTGGAGGAAGATTTAAGAACTTCTCGACCAGCTGGAGTTCCGGCAGTGGTTCTGTGATGAGCCGGTCTCCATCTACGATATGAAACTGCTCAATTGGGAAATATTTTAACCATCTCTCCAGGTGTTTTGTGTAGATGCTGGTTCTTACTGCCTTATACTTAGTGTTCACTTCACAGGTATTAGGATCAATAGCCAGCTTTTCAAATTTGTAGTAAGTTTTGTTCTTTCTTTCCTTGCCTTCCAGCACCTGAGTGTAATCAGAAATAGCTCTTGTGGTGGGTTCCCTGACAATGATCAATAATTTGATAGACGAGTTCATTTTGTAAATCCTTTCAGGTACTTCCTCAGTGATAAAATAAGCAGGGCTTTTCTCAATTGTTATTTGATGAGGGTAAGAAAAAGGCATTTTTTTCCGGTACCACTCAATCCCCTTGGCATAGTTCTCATCGTTGTCAAAGAAATGAATCTCTTGAGAAGCTTTGACCACTGCAGGGTGAAGATTCAACATCTCTAACAGTGCACGTGTGCCTCCTTTCCGCACCCCAATGATGATGGCCTTGGGAAGCTGCTGAACCAGATTGTGCAGTCGTATTTGCTCCTTTGTAGCATTGCCCTTACGGAACTCGTGGAGTAGCCCTCGCTTGAACTGCAGAGCTCGCAGCGGGATTTCATCCTGGCTGCGGGGTCCGAATCGACCGTCGATGGGGCAGAGGGGCTGCAGTCTGCAATCAGTGGAAAAGATATTTGTAAACAGAGGGCAGCTCTTAAGGTAAGCTCACAATGCTCACAGAAAACTTTCGCAACATGGTGTCTTTCAACTTGTATTTTATTCTGTCAGATATTAGTAATTAGTGTAAACTGTTTATTTATTCTGTTATTTCACTATGTTCTGGCTGAGTACCCCCTTCCTCTACTGCTCTACTCAAAGGAACGCTTATTACTGTTCTTTGAACTTCTTGAACCTTATCTCACCTTTCACATTACTGATTGCTTTGAGATTACTTCAGAAGCTTTTAAAGCATTCTAAGATGAGTTTTATTTGGCCATTATGATCTGAAAATCTAGTTCATCTAACTCCTATCTTTCCAACACTAGCTCTATTCTAGCTTGAGTTATTTCCTGTTACTACCCATTGTGTTGACTTTAGTAACTGCTGATCCAGGCTTAGCTCTTTTAGTGAAGAGGAGCAAAAGGGATTAAAAATAGTTTCCAAGGCATCGCCCCTCAATATTTTCCATCCTATTTAGCGTATACCCAGTATAATTCCTGGGCAGAATCAGAAAGACCAGGGTTCTGAAACAGACATGATCGGCAGAGGCACAGGAAGGGCAGTAAGACAAATGTTCGAAAATACATTTATTACATCATTACAGCTATAGTTTTCTTATCATTACTTGTGTTTGTGTTTCTTCTCACCGAACAACCGTTTGTACTTTAATTTTTTACATTGCTCCTGCATGATGTTTGCATAATTCTTTTGTATTTACCCTTCAATTATTTCATACATTTTCTACTATTCCAATTCTTCCTTCTCATATTTCATGTCAATGAATGGAAGAAGTGATTCAGATAGAGAAGCGTTTAAATTTTGCTACAAAAGAGCCCTTAATAAGCCCTCACTTTCACTCCCAAACAGTGCTTTGGTCATTAAACAAGCCAGTGTTACACTGAAGATGAAACAGGTATGTAGAGAGAGTTTCCAAAGCCCAACAGAAAAAAATATCAATAAATTTGCAGAGCCATGATCTCCAAAATTAAAAATATGTAAGAACAAAGGTTGCCTAGGCAATTTTAATATGAGCTTGCTGTGCATGTATATTATGATACTGTTTTTAAATTACATGACCACATGCTATTATTTTTCACAGGACCCCTGCCTCAGCCGGCATACCAGATGGGCAATGCTCATTAATAGCTGTTTAGGTATTCAGTATTTATTCTGTTTGCTCAGTATGTGGCCCCTCATTCATTTACTGTATATTATTCAAACCTGCTTTCAGGACAGAATCATTTATTTCTTTTTGGCTCTTCCATCCATCACTGCCTGTTGGAGTCTCTAATTTGACACTGATGCTATGACAATGGATGGCTGGGACCAAGTAAAAAGGTTAGCCCCCCTGGCTGACCCAATAACTGTTTCCTTCACTATCTAAATGCTGTGATATACTATGTCCAGACAGATCTGAAGAAACATCCAAGATGAGTTTGCTGGGTTTAAATGAGCTTTATTTAAGTTCTACACACCAATGACAAAGTGTTTGGAGAAGTGAGTCCCTGTTGTCATTTCTTTTCTCAAGTTTCCACTCTTTTCTCTTTGCTTTTTGCTGCCTACCAAATAAGAGCCTGATTTGGTCACAAAAATTGTATTATTGCAACTTTTACTCCAACTTGGCAATAAAAAGGGAACCAAATAAACCAACCAAAGCAACAAACAAAAGATCTGAAAACAGTATCTTAACTTGACAGTGGTATAACTTAGTCAGGCTATGGTGGGACTGTTAAGAGTCATTCTGCAGTAAGGAGGTGACAGTTGCAAGCATAAAAAACAGAAGTTGCAAGCGTAAAAAACAGAAACTACAATCCATCTCTCTGTTCTTCTCTTCCCTCTCCTTCTGTGTATTTGCTATTTGTTTTCAAGCAAAAATGTTCCACAACAGCAGTTCCAGACGTATCTCAACTAATTTTATCTCTTTTCCTCAAAAAGATAGCACTGCCTTCAGTATAACACAACAGCTTGTCAAACAGGGTTGTTTCCTTTAAAAGTAAACAAATACTCAAGATATCCTCTAGCCTAAGAGAAGGATTGGATGTTCTTAAAAGTCCTTCCTCAACACTTTGCATTCCTTTACCCTTTCCCCTTTCTTCTCCTCTCCTCTCCAAACAATAAAAAGTCCTATAAAAGATCTTGGCTATCTTAAGATTAAACAGGCTGTCACATCTTGGTAGCTGAATCCTGAGATGCAGCTATTTACTATGTTAATATTTTTGCTTTTCTGAGTCTTCTTCTTGAAAAAAATCCAGTGTAGAGCAGTTCATCTCAGAAAAATGTTTCTGCCAAGTAGTTAAACAGCTAAAAGACGCCTGGGTAATCTTAACAACAAGTAGTGATGCTGCAAGCAATTTCTCTTCTGATCCAGAATAGCTGCTAATTTGTTTCCAAAGCAGATCTCACAGTGATAAAATGTTACAAGCCTGGTTCCAGGAGTTCAAAACATTAAAATTGGGTATGGAGGCTCCCCATAATTCCAATGAGAATGTTAAACATCTTGAAGACTCACACAAATTTTCTCAGAATTTTCATGGACGAACTTTGGTTGAGCTTCTACACATGAAATAGCTCTGCTCATTTGTGCTCTGAAGGACAGGGGCCTCCTCTGGAGGGAGGTACTCAGCTTATCAGACTTTGTGACTCAGTGAATCAGATAAGCTATTGCTAATTTCCTAAGGGAACTCAGTTCCTGAGACATCTGCAATGAGAAACTCCCAGCTCTCTCTCAAGTGTAGCTTGGGTCATACTGTGGCAGAATATTTCCAGTCTGCTCATCTGTCTCAAGATTTCTATGCATTCTTTCCCTCTTTTTCTCCTGAGTCCAAATAAAGGGCTTCTTTTTGGCAGTGTGGTATTTTACACATTGGATAATGGAAAAAAATGAAACAGGATTTTACTTCCAGTGGCAACATTATATATGAAAACAGTGGAATTCAGTGCCTCAGGAGGTCAATGAGTCAAATATTGTGGCAAGATAATTTTATGGCCAACAGTAAATTCTGAAGATGTGCAAGCATAGATAATAGCATAAGGTTAATTAGATTTTATGCCTCCCTTCATAAACATGCTGTTTCAGGGACTAATAAGGAATTTTGTGTCCATTTCCAGAATCTAGTCACAGTGAAGTTTTCACCTCTAAAGTATCAGAGATGCTTTGACCACTGGGGGAAGAAAGTTATAAATCTTGGGGCCTAATTTGCAATCCATTTAGTCCCAGTTGACAACATGATCTCCCTCTTCTTCTGAAACTGGGTTATACAGTTGAAGAAGGCAGCCATTGACCTGAGATGCAGTACAGTGGATATTGTATATTGTAGTGTCAGAGCTTTGAACTCAACTAATATTTTCCACCATTTAAAAGAAGTCCATTAAAGCAACGTTAGCACTCAAAAGCTATTTACCAGCTTCTGGAAATCCCGAGGTCTTCATTCATTCTTTCAAAACAATCTTTTCTACTCTGTCTTTCTATAATGCCTATCAGAGCAGTCCTAGACCACTGTGAAGGTGGCAGAAAAAGCATGGTCATTGTGAGTAGCACCACTGTCACACTGTCAATAACCAATCAAAAATCAGTCTGGCCAAAAGTGTCAAATACTTTTTGATTTCCTCTCCTGTATTTTCTATTGCTCCCCAGGAAATCACTTGCAGAGACAACCTTTTTATTTGGCACTTTCAACTCCAGAAAATACTGGCTAATTAATGCAGTTAAAAAATTCTCAAGCCCTGCAGCAATCTTTCAAATGAAATAGTATTTAAAACTTGACGAGCTACTCTGCAGACTCATACTTAATTTTAACTGCCACTGTAGCACATTAATTGCTTGCTCATAAATTTAGGAAGATGATGTATAAATATATCAAAACTGTTCTGCTGAAAGTAGAGGTCAACACACAGATGCGCAGAGACAAAAAAATGAGCTATTCTAATGATATTTTTACTGGACGTTTTTTTACCTCTTCTCTGAAAATAAGTGTCAGTCTGCTTAGAATACAAATGGGCAGACTGAAGTACTTTGACAGGGATGACCTGCAACTTTGTTTTCCTATTCTGCAGAGGGAAGGAAACAATTATGAAAATCAGTAGTAGAGTGGTTGGTCTTTCATGAATACATGAATAGAAGCTAAAAAATCAGAAAAGAAATAGATCCTCTAAAGAAAAGCTCATGCAATCTGCGTTCATTTGCAATTAAGAGAGTGGCTAGTGAACAACTTACCTATCCAAGCTCCCAACTCTGGCAACTAGATATAGGAGACTTCCTATAGCAAGGCTGCCTAGCACAAAGAGCTTCTGTCTCAGCAACACCTGCTGTTTGAATAGCATGGCCCTCCATCAATCTTCAGGACTTCTTCAGTCTGCAGAGAGAAGAACATATAAAGCTCTCATCAGTAAGCAATATGCAGTGTAATGTTTAGTAACAGGCCTTCCATTAGTTGCAGGTCTTGTGACCACGGTGTGTAGGACCTGCTCACCGTGTTTCTATTATATCGTTAGTGAATGAGCTGGACAGAAATCAGTTTATTTCCCGGTCTGTGCCAGCAAGCTTCTGGTGGCAGATCTGTGAAGTGTGCAGCTGGGATGGACACAAGGACATTTTTTTAACAGTAGTACAAAGTTAAATGTGTGATGCGTCTTATCAGGTCTCTTTGTGTGTCAATTTAGGCTGTTCTGCGGAAAATTCCTTAAACACCACATCTGACTGATGCCAGCACTGGCTTTTATTTCAAGGCCTGATGCAAACTTGAGCTGAGCATACCCATACTCATCTTCAAATTGCAGCAGCAAGCATGGACTTACATTTCCTTTTATGATATGTGCCAGAGACCACTAAATTGATATGGTTTTCTTGAGAGAGTAAATTTTCTTCATAATATCTCATAGAGTGATATGCTTTGAATTTTTGATAAAAACAATCCTGTTAACACACTGATGTTTTGACTGTTGCAGAGCAGTGCTTACACTAAGGACTATCCAGCTTCTTGATACAGCAGAAAAACACCTCAGAAAAACAGTATGAAGCTGCAGTCAGTTTCCTTCCTGAGAAAAGAAGAGTATACCTTTTATAAACAAAAGACATGAATTTTTGAGTTGTGAGGAAGAGTTCAGATGGTGGGCCAGGGTAGATCTGCAGCTCACCAGTCTTTCCTTCCCAGCAACGATCTTTCCACATTAGAGTAGCTGTCATTATTCCCCACTGAATTTCTATTTTCTCTTTTATCCCTAAGCCTGCTATTGCCTTTGTAAGTCCAGCTCATCACCTCTACCTTGCAGCACTGAAGACTTGAGTCTGGCTGAGTCTGTGACACTTCTGGTGTGCTAGTAGCTAAAGTAACTCTTTATACAGCCAGGTCATGGCTGTATACGTACAGAACAATATGCTTCTCACTAGATACATGAAGCTCCATAATAAGAATTTTTAGGTAAGATCCTTATTACAACAAGAATTGTATAAAACAGTAAAAGGAATTTGCAGTGTAAATATTAAGAAAGAATATGTATCATACTTTAAAAATAAATGAAGAACAAAGGTAGAGAGAGATTAAGTGATTTGTTTAAGGTCACAGAGAAAATCTATGGGACTAGTGGGATTCAATTTGATACATCTATGTTCCTGTCTAGTGCCGTAATTATGTGATAAACTTTTATCTTTTTTTTTTTTAGTATATTTTTAACTGAATCTTATTGTTTAAGAAAAATGCTGATACACAGCTGCTGTTTATTCTCTTAATTAATTAATTAAAAAAGAAGGTGGGAAAGAAATCATAATGACAGTTCATAGTTTTTCAGGTTAAAATCCTTCAGTGCTTCTCTTTCTAAATAATAGTATCATGTCAGTGTTACAACTACTGGTTCTGAACTTCCTTTCTCACAAAACATATATGGACCTCTCTACATGAAACTAAAGTGTTGGGAGCATGTCCTCCCTCATGCATACTCAGACTCCTGTTAATTCCTGCCTGCAGGTCTCCTTGAAGCTGTAAAGGTCATCAGGTCACAATGAAATCAAATTAAAGACAAAATCAAAGACAAACTATTTCAGAAAGTGAACTCCATGAAGTCTTAGTCCATCCATATTCAGGTGTGCAGTAAAATTCAGTGCAAGAAGAGAAAAAAATAGACAATTATGTTTGCACTGTGTATGTACTTGAGTGTATTTCCACATACTGAAAATTTTTGACAGAATAATGGGTATCGAACACTCACTGAAATGCATGTGCAACATTATTTGTTTGCTTATGTAATTTTTGTTATCACTTCCAGCATCTAATTTAAAGTCCAAGGAGGAAGTATTATTCTTCTGAGGTTCTAGCTAATATAACACCTTCCTCAGATTTTAGTTGTTTTCATAAAACTAAATTTAGAAAAAAATGTATTTCATCTTCAGAAATGTCTACATCTTGCCACAGATGTACAGAGACAGAGGAGAAGACAGAACTGTTTAGGCCATGGGGTTGATGCAACCAGAATGTGATTAAGGTGAAGGCTCCAAAGGCAAAAAATTTTGCTGAAGACTAACACATCAACACTTCAGGATGGAAGAAATGAAAATTCTGGGACACATTATAGGCTGCACAAAGTTTACCATAGGGAATATGCACTTTTAAACTTAATAAGAAGCTGGAAGGCAAGATAAAATGTAATCCAAAGTGACATGATTTTAGCAGCTATTTGAGGCAAATAAGGATTTTCGTTTTGGAATTTTACTCTCTGTTATGGACCATGACTGAACTGACACACCAGGTTCTGATCAGCAGGACAAGGCTTGGGGAAGCACCAGGCAGAACTGATGCTGAATGTGGAACCTTTTACCAAAAGAGACAACAGCATACTGCTGCACAGTCCAGTGGACTTACATTACAAATACCCGTTTTGAGCAATCTAATTAAATATACAAATACAGAAGGAAAGCCACTTCCTGGATATCCAAAAGATAATCTACAATGCATAAGAACAACATAATTCACAATGTAGAACTTGTAATTTCTAGAAGTGCAACTGTATGCAATGTAATGTACAGAAAAAAAAGGTAAGCTACTTAGTGAATTGCAGATGAACAGCTGATCTAACTTGTTAGATTGATATAGTTATCTTAAATAAATAAGCTTCATTTAGTGTATTGATATGATTTCATCATCCGACCCCATTTGCCATGGAGGCATGCAGGTGAGAAGAAGGTATTAGTTGAGAGCAAAATGAGTCTCATCACAGCAGATGCCAATTAGATTGGAGAAGTCTAATGGCCTAAGTGCGATTTTAAGAAGCAGAGATCCCATGTTATTTCAAAAAAATGAAATTCAGTACTTTCAGAATTTTTTTAAGTACCAAGACAGAAAGTCAGTGGCAGTGAAATACACAGATGGACATCTGTGAGAAGGAAGCAATTATTCCCCTGTATGCTACTACACCACATCATTGAGTAAATGAACTAAAATTTCAGCAACTAAATAAAAATCTTATTTCACTGGCTAAATTAAATGGGAGAAAATGGAAAAACAAACAAACAAACAAAATAATGTAATTGATAATGATACCACCACTGGTAGAAATTTGAATTTGATAACGTAACAAATTTTCCATAAGAACTGAACCCAGAAGCTGTTGCTATACTTACCTATCCCAAATAAACTGACAGGGAGACAGAAGAACTACTAGAATGTTGTCTGAAAATGATCAGAAGGAAATTTTTGGACACAGATAGCAAAGAAGAGAAGGTTTTATTGATAAATGAATGAAGTATGGTTGATTATGGGGAGAAGTATAAGAAAGCAATATTTAAACCTTTGATAAGCAGATTGCTGAGAGACAGTGTTGATGGAGTAATGTGGCAATCAAAGTGAAGTACGAATTATAGGAAACTATGAACAAAGAAGACTGAAGTAATAATAAATGGGACTTTTTTTTTTAATTGAATTAGCTTAGATTATGAGTTGGCTTAGATTATTTTTGTTTTACACACCAGCAGGGGTCATCTGCTGACCAACAAATATTTGTTTTCATGCACTGTATAAATATTTTTGAATTTATGTGAGATTCAAATATAGTGATTGAGAAAACAAGTCAACGCTTGGCACTTTTCTATTTCTCTTGCTTTTGCGTTATCTCTCTTAAATGTTAACTACAGTTTCTTGCATTTGTCACAGTGAGTAAAACTCACATAAATCAAGCATGTAGACTTCATCTGGGAAAGGAAAAAAAGGTGCTTGGGAAAGGAGGGAATTTATCCCTCAAAATTTGTGCATTAGCTCATCAGCTCAAGATTTTCATACTATGGCAAGAAAAGCATCATACTCCTGATCTTCCTTTAGCCAGCTCTTCCTTCCTCTTCTGCTAGCTTGCCATTAAAAAGTGTCAAGTGGTAAGGGTAAGATACACATCCTCTGCATTTTTTTCCTGGTACCTTCCCATACAGTTTAATTGGTAGATAACTACTGTACTATGTGGAGAGTATTAAAAAGTTGCAATAATCGTGAGAAAGCAGAACATGAATTTTTATTAGAGAGAGTATTTTTCATTCCTACAATCATTGAATAGCCTAAGTTCTGGTAGAATTTATCCTCCTTTTTTTTTGACCAAGTAATGTGAAATGGAGAATGGAAATGGAAATCTTTGAATATACCAGTTTTCACTAGGAAGGACAAATGCTGAACCTGTAGAAAGGAAATTTCAATTTTAGTTTTTCAGAAATCTTCTTTATTGATTCATACTTTCAATAGCAAAAACAAATTTAATTCAGATGAGTAATCATCACAGTGTTTCATTTTTTTTTTTCTCTCTAGCATAAGTACTACTGAGTGAGATGGGATGAAATAACATCAGAACACATTTCAAGGCCTGAAGGAAGAGAAGATGGAAACCCTTTCACTACAGGGAACAAGTTCACAGATTCACATAAATGTCTCTGCCTTCTAAGCATGTCCTTTTCTCCTCATAACTCATATTGACTTAAATAGTAGAGCAGAAAATGTTAGCAAAGATGACAGAAAACAGTAGTGGTTGCAGATAAATTCTAACATGAAGATTTCCTATAATCTTATGCCACTGCTGTGACAATAATTTAAAAATACCTTTTCCTATCTGCTATTGAAGAGTTTTGACATTTACAACTGCCTTTAAGCTGCCCTCAAAGCCAGTTCTCTGTATAATGAAGTGGTAATGTATGCTTTCTCTAGAAAGTCTGCTTTACTCTGAGAGACCATCCACAGAATCAACACTTACATGCATAAATTAGGTAAGAAAACACACACTCCTTTGGCAAAAGTTAGCACACTATCAGTGCTGAAGGAAAGCATTAGTAATTTGTATCCCAAGCCCTTATGGTTGAC